AGGACACCGAAGGCAGCCGCCAGCTGCTGAAGGCGCGGCGAGAGATGAGCAGCAAACACAAGTTCAAAGCAGCAGCAAATCAGCAGCAGCAGCAGCAGCAGCAGCAGCAGCAGCAGCAGCAGCAGCAGGCTTCTGCTGCTGCTGCTGCTGCTGCGCCGCAAACCCTCCGCGGGCTTCGCCTTCTTTAACATTTTTCTCTTTTCTCTTTTGTCTCATTTAATTGACAAAATTAAATTATTTAAAATTAAAAAATAAATTAATTTTAAAATGAAAAAAAATAATTAATTCAAAAATAAATATGAGCCTCTATGGATGTCGCAGTAGTCATGCAAAAATGCTGCTGCTGCTGCTGCTGCTGCTAGTATTGCTGCTGCTGCTGCTGCTAGTATTGCTGCTGTTGCTGCTGCAAGTATTTCTGCTGCTGCTGCTGCTGCCAGTAGTGCTGCTGCTGCTGCTAATGTTGCTGCTGCTGCACCTACTATTGCTAGTGCTGCCTTTGCTGCTACTATTGCCGCCGCAGCTGCTACGATTGCTGCTGCTGCTGCTACGATTGCTGCTGCTGCTGCTGCAAGTATTGCTGCTGCTGCTGCTGCCACTGTTGCTGCTGCTGCTGCTGCTGCTGCTGCGGCTACGTGCGAGCAGCAGAAGCAAATGGATAGAGGATTTGTTTTAATTTCCTGAAATTGAATTTCATAAAATGACATTTAAAATTAATTAAATTAAATTTAAAATAAATTAAATTAAATTTCAACAAAGACAAACTTCAAACAAAATGCCGCCAGAGGCCTCCGCATGCATTTAACTTGCTGCGCACGGCGCAGCAGCAAACGGATTCGCACTCTGCTGCTGCTGCTGCTGCTGCTGCTGCTGCTGCTGCTGAAGGAGCTGCTGCTGCTGCTGATGCTGGAGGTGCAGCTGGTGCCGGAGGCGTTGCTGCTGCTGCCTCGGCTGCTGCTGCTGCTGCTGCTGCTGCTGCTTGAGCTTCTGTTCCCGCAGCAATAGCGCGCGCGTTGTCTGCTGCTGCTGCTGCTGCTGCTGCTGCTGCTGCTGCTGCTGCTGCTAGGGTGAGGGGGCCTTTGTCTGTTTGGAGAGAGATTGCATGCAAAAGAGGATTAAAACTTTTATTTAAATAAATCTTTTTATTTAAATAAATCTTTTTTTTATTTTCTTTTTTTGTCTTTTTTTCTTTCCACAAATTTAGGTCTCCCCACGGCTCAGAGATCCACAGAGGAAGCAACATCAGTGGCTGCTGCTGCTGCAGCAGGTCCTGCTGCTGCAGCAGCTCCTGCTGCTGCAGCAGGTCCTGCTGCTGCAGCGGCTCCTGCTGCTGCAGCAGGTTCTGCTGCTGCAGCAGGCCTTGCTGCTTCAGCAGGTCCTGCTGTTGCAGCAGGTTCTGCTGCTGCAGCAGGTTCTGCTGCTGCAGCAGCTGCTGCTGCAGCAGCTGCTGCTGCAGCTCTTGCTGCTGCTGCTGCTGCTGCTGCTTGTGTTCGGCGTGAGTGTCTCGGGTTTGCTTCGCGAGTTGGGAGTGCAGCAGCAGCAGCTGCTGCTGCAGTTGGGGCCCCACAGCTGCTTGTGGGGCCCCACAGAAGCTGCGGCAGGCTGCGGTGTACGTACACCCCAGCACTGGGTGCCCCAGCGACAGCGCATGCAGCCGCACGGAGTGAAGGGACCCTAAAGGCAAAACAATTAAATTAATTAATTAATTTAATTAATTTAATTAATTAATTTAATTAATTTAATTAATTAATTTAATTAATTTAATTAATTAAAAAGGAATTAAATTCATTTAATTGCGGCAAATCAAAAGGCTAGAAAAGCGCGATTCAGCAACCTGCTGCTGCTGCTGCTGCTGCTGCTGCGGCTGCTGCTGCTGCTGCTGCTGCTGCTGCTGCTACTGCTGCTGCTGCTGCTGCTGCTGCTGCACCTGCGAGCAGGGAAATGTAGCAAAGGGTCACTTCCTGGCCGTTTAAATTTGCTGCTAAAAAAGCCCCAAATTCTGTTGCTGCTTCGAGGCCTTCTTTGGGGCTGCCAGCCAGTCTGTAGAGGCCCTCGCTGCTGCTGCTGCTGCTGCTGCTGCTGCTGCTGCTGCTGCTGCTGCTGCTGCGGGGTGGGCCTCTAGGGCGGCATATTGGCGAAGAGACACTCCACAAACCCAAAGGCAAACGGCCGCTTAAGACGCCCAGCAGCAAAGCGCGCATCGCCTGCTGCTGCTGCTGCTGCTGCTGCTGCTGCTTGTGCTGCTGCTGTTGCTGTTGCTGCTGCTTGTGCTGCTGCTGGGCATGCTGCTGCTGATGGTCATGAAGCTTCTGCTGCCGCTGCAGGAGAAGCAGAAGCAGCAGCGCGAGTGGGTGAAGCGGCAGCCCTAGCAGCAGCAGCAGCAGCAGCAGCAGCAGCGCAAAGGACGCGGCAGGAGCAGCAGGCCCAGTCGCTGCTGCAGCTGCTGCTGCTGCAACTGCAGCAGCAACAAGACCTGCAGCAGCAGCAGCAGCACGGAATTGGCCCAACTGCCTTTGCTGGGCTTTCCTTCCTTGCAGCCACACTATGCTGAGGTGTACATACACCCCAAAAATGGGTTTCTTTTACAAAAAAACAAAAAATAAAAATAAATTAAAAGTCCTTTAAACAGTCCAATAACTTCGAAACAAAACTCTAAAATGTCCTAAGAAGTCAAAGGGCCCCCGGAGGCCCCCGGGGGGCCCCTGGGGGGCCCCTGGGGGGCCCTGAGGGGCCCCTGGGGGCCCCTGGGGGACCCCAAGAGGTGTTGAGGGACGTTTTGAGGCCCCTGCTGCCTCTTTTAATGCGAAATGTGTTTGTTTTTGAAATCGGAATCGAATTGGAGTTGAATTTGATGAAAAGAATTAAAAGAAATGGAGAATTCGAATTCTGGTTTTTGGCGGGACGCGCGGGGTGTACATACACCGCGCGCGGTGTCTGTACACCTCAGGAGTGTCGCGGCGATTCCAGAAAACGAAAAATCGCCATTTGCATTTAAATTGAATTTAATTTGATAAATTGTTTAATTAAAATGAAATAAAATTCAAATAAATTGAAATTAATTTCATTTTAACTCGAAAAATAAACCAAAGAAGACGAAATGGACTTCCGCCACGAAATGCAGAAGTGCAGCAACTCCGATCTGCGCATTTGAAGTGAACAAACTGAATAAATAAATGAATAAAAGAATAAAATTAAGAAAATAAGAAAATTAAATAAATGAATAAAACGAATTTAATGAATAAATGCTCAGAGCACTAACGGCGTCCGTACACCCGAGCTGCCTATACACCCCAGAGCTGCCTATACACCCGCGAGCTGCCTATACACCCGAGCTGCTGGACTTTTTCTTTCATTTAAATTCCTTTTTATTCGAAATTATTTAAATTGCATTTTGGAATAGCCAAGGGAAACTACTGCAGCAGCAGCATTAGCAGCAGCAGAACCAGCTTCGCTAGCAGAAGCAGCAGCAGCATTAGCAGCAGCAGCACTACCTTCACTAGCAGAAGCAGCAGCAGCAGCACCAGAAGCAGCAGCAGCATCAGTGGCAGCAGCAGCAGCAACTGGAGCAGCCAGCACAAAAGCAGTTCCCGTAGCTCTAGCGGCACTACAAGTAGCAGCAGCAGCAGCAGCAGCAGCAGCAGCAGGAACAGCAGCAGCAGCAGCAGCAGTAGCAGCAGAATCAGCAAAAGTCGAAAGGCAAAAAAGGTTTAATTTTGGTTCACCGCTCAGGTGTATATACACCCGAGCGGCAAAAAGCCTTCAAGTCTTTTCCACTCCAAATTTTGCCTTTTCTTTTTTTAATTTTTTTTTTCTTTTATTTCTTTTATTTATTTCTTTAATTTGTTCATTTGTTTTATTTTTATTTATTTTTTATTTTATTTATTTTATTTATTTTATTTGTTTTATTTTATTTATTTTTATTTTATTTATTTCGGCTGTGCCGCGTCGGCACCGCCGCCCAAATGCATTTTAACTTTTTCACTTCCAAATAAATTTCTTTTATTTGTTTTTCTTTTTTTTGGATTTATTTTTATTTTATTTATTTATTTTATTTATTTTTATTCATCTGTTTATTTTGAATTTTATTTATTTGTTTTTAATTCATTTATTTGCATTTATATTTATTTCTACTTTTATTGTTTGTTTTTGTTCGGCCATTGCTGGTACTCTCAAGTACAACAAAAAAAAGAAAACAAATAAATAAACACAAATAACAAATAATAAATAACAAATAAACAAATAAATGAATAAACAAATAATAAATAAACAAATAAATAAATAAATAAATAAATAAATAAATAAATAAATAAATAAATAAATGAGAAATATTCAATTAATTCCAATTCCTTTTTATTCTCAATTACCCACCACCAACTTATTTTAATTAATTTATTTCCATTACTGAACAAACGAAATGATGAATTAAATTAATTTATTAATTTAATTAATTAATTAAATTAATTATTTAATTTAATTTAATTTAATTTAATTTAATTGATCAATTTTCACGGAGTTTGAAGCAGTTTGGGAACTTTCTTTTCCCGAACTTGAACGAAGCAAACAAAAAAGCACTTACTAAATCAATTAATTAAATAAATAAATTAATTTAATTAATTAATTAATTAATTTAATAAATACTTTTAAATAATTGGTTCAATTAACTCGAATTAAGGATTAAATTAATCAATTTTGACGGAATTAGCAGCAATTTGCGGATTATTATTTTTCGGAACTTTTATTTCCAAAACTCCATTATTATAATTTGCTGTTATTTTTTCCTGCTGCGCCTCGGGGGGCAGCGGGAGGCTTCTGAAGAAGCTGCTGCTGCAGCGTTCCTGCACGAACCAGCGGCCGTCTTGCTGCTGCTGCTGCTGCTGCTGCGGGCTGCTGCTGCTGCTGCTGCTGCTGCTGCTGCTGCTGTGTCCGCGGATTATCAACCGCCCGTTTTGCGTCTCCACTTTTATGTCTTTCTTGTCAAGTCCCGGCAAGTCTGCATGCAGCAGCAAATTGTCTCCCGTGTCTTTGATGTCGAGGCGGGGGATGCAGCTGCTGCTGCTGCTGTGGCCGAGCCAGTTGCTGCTGCTGCTGCTGCTGTGGGGCCACTGCAGCAGCCCGCTGCTGCTGCTGCTCCAGGGGGCCAGCAGCCCCTGCTGCGGCGCAGCCGCCGGCCCCGCCCCCGCCAGCTGCCGCTGCTGCTGGTCCTGCAGCTGCTGCTGCTGCTGCTGCAGCTGCTGCTGCTGCTGCTGCGCCTCGCTGCTGCGGTACGGCCGCCACCAAAAGCCGGGACTGAAAAAGCTGTGCTGCTGCATCAAAGAGTCAAAGCGATTCAAAGAGTCCCAAAGTTCTCCATAAAGAGCTTCGAAGGGGGAGCGCGGGGGGTCCATTGTGGCCTAAAAAGAAAACAAAAACAAACATTCTCACCTCACAGTTCAACTTTGCTGCTGCTGCTGCTGCTGCTGCTGCTGCTGCTGCTGCGCTTTCAAACAAAGGCTGTAGTCCACTCAAAGGCCGCCGGGTGTCTTTGCGGCTGCTGTCAAAGCAGCAGCAAGGGTGCCTGCGGTGTCTCGGCAGAGTCCGGGAAGAGCTGCGCTGCAGCCTCCCGGCCTTCTGAAGACTCCGAAAGACAATTAATGAATTAAAAATAAATAAAAATAAATAAAAATAAATAAAAATAAATAAAAATAATCAAAAGTGCAGCGCCGGAACTGCTGAGGAAGAAAATCGCGACAGCTTCCCGCGAGCGCCGCCGATGCAACTTGGGGTGTATGCGCAGCTCTGCACACCCCCGCGCTTTCTTTCCACTTTTTCGAAACCCTAAACCCTAAACCCTAAACCCTAAACCCTAAACCCTTCATTTCTGCATTTTGGAAGGCAGAAGCCTTGCAAAACTCCGGGAAAACCCCGTGTGCGGGGTCATGCATGTGTGTCGGCTGACCGGGAAGTTGGGAGTGGAAAGCTGCGGGGAATCCGCGGAAAGCGAGTCTTTTTCGACTTGAAGCTATTGAGTTTTGCAATTAATTCTCGAATTCGAAGTTATAAATCTGAAGAAGAATTTAAATGACGCGTTTCACTTGGCGGGCGCTCGCGGGCTGCGGGCGGCGCTGAGCAAGGTGTACGTACACCTGGTGGCTCTGCGGGCCGCCCCGCCACTGCGCCCGCGATCTCCGCTCTTTTCGCGTTTAAATAAATAACTTTTGAATTATTTTCCATTATTTAACTCATTTAATTCCAATTTAACTCTTCCGGAAGTCCGGGGACGCTCCGTTGCCTCCCTGCTGCTCCTGACACCCCAGCCTGCGCAGCTTCTCGGGATCTTCAGGTGTCTGTACACCTCACGCCCACGGACTGCGTTTTCCGCTCAGCCCGGGCCTTCTGGTGTACGTACACCTGCACTCAGCTTATCTATTTGCTGCTAAGAGCCTCGGGGCCGTGTCAGTGCCTTTGTTGCTGCTAAGCAGCACTTCAGGGGCCCCCAGGGGCCCCTAGAGGGCCCCCAAACAGCTGTCGCGATTGCGCTGCTGCTGCTGCTGCTGTTGCTGCTGCTGCTGCTGCTAAAGTTGGTGCTCCTGCTGCCAAAGCTGCTGCAGCTGCTGCGCTGCTGCTGCTGCTGCTGCGAAGGTTTCTGCTGCTGCTGCTGCTGCTGCTGCTATAGTTGCTAGGGGGCGATTCTGCCTAGAAAGTAAATGGGTTTCCGCGAGTTTACAAATTTTAGAAAAAGTTTTATTTTTAAAAATTAAAAATAAAAAATAAATGAAAAATGCATTTTGCAAATCTGCAGAATGAATTGTTCTTAATTAGATTTAATTTAATTTAATTAATTTGCTTTTATTAATTCCAACAAATTATTTTTTCTGTTTTGCTTTTGTTTCTTCTTCACCATTAGCAGCTTTACTCAGCTGTTGCCTAGTCTCCAAATAGCTTCTCTAGGGTTTAGGGTTTAGGGTTTAGGGTTTGGGGTTTAGGGCTAAGGGTTTAGGGTTTAGGGTTTGCTTTCGCCAGCGTGTTGCAGTTGACAGCAACAACTTACGGGACGCATGAGGGAAATGGCTTGCCGAGGGTTTAGGGTTTAGCGTTTGAAGTTTAGGGTTTAGGGTTTAGGGTTTAGAGTTTAGGCCGTGGGCCCGGTAGCTAGCTAGCTAGCTAGCTAGCTAGCTACATAGGTAGCTAGCTAGCTAATAACGCGGCTTGTGGGCAGCTAGCCAGCAGGTACGCCTAGCTTTCCAGCCAGCTAGCTCTGCTGCAGCTAGCTGGCTAGCTAGCTAACTAGCTAGCTAGCTGGATAACTAGATAGCTAGCCGGATAGCTAGCTAGATAACTAGCTAGCTAGCTGGCTAGCTAGCGAGATGACTAGCTAGCCAGGTTGCTCTCTGGCTAGCTCTCTAGCTAGCCAGATGTCTGCTAGCTAGCTCCTCTAGCTAGCTGGTTAGCTAGCTAGCTAGCCAGCTGGGTTCGTAGCTAGCCAGAGAGCCGGAGCCAAAGGTTGCTTCTCTTGTCTTTACTGGC